GCAATATTTTTTTACAATTGAATACTTTAAATTAAATAAATAAAACCGAATTTAATAAAAAATTACATTTATTCGGTCTGGTCCCGGTCTGGTCCGGGTTTTATTGGTCCGGTCTCGGGCCGGTCCTTACCTTAAGCAATTTGGTCCTCGGTCCACAAAGTTCCTCTTATTTGGTCTCGGTCTGGTCCCGATCCGGTCCGGTCCGGGTTTGAACCGACGAACACCCCTATTTATGGGAATTAAGGAAGGTCACACTCTTAACTCTTTAACCACATTATTATTAACAACATTGTTCATTATTATCATCATTATGATTAAGTACTATTATTATTATTATCATTAGAGGTCTACATCAAGATTTGGATTTCATATGTGCTTTTTATATAAATATTTGTGCCTATAAATGATGGAAAGCTGCATTGGTTCCTCTTAGTGGTTGACATTGAGAAAAAGAATTTAATTTTGTTAGATTCCAAAAGATGGCCAGCGGCATTGGATGAGAGGAGGATGATTATACGCTTTCTGGAAATAATTAAAAACTAAATCTCTACCACATATAATCATTTAAATAAATATATTGCGTATAGGCATTTTTTTGCAGAAAATGTTACTAGACAACCCTTTTTATCGCTACCATGAAGCTGCACATAAACCACAAATATCTGAATTCAAAATCGTGGAACCACAAATATCAGAATTCAAAATTGTGGAACCAATAAATATTGGGCAACAAGCAGCAGGATCGTAAGTTAACTTAAAATGCCTCAAATCTTATTTTTAGTGCGCTTTTTTTAACAATCCAACTCAGTATTGTTTATAAAAAAATTTAGCAATGACTATGGCGTCTAGGTGGCAACTTGGAGGAAAGAATGTGCATGGGACGATGCATATGACATGTTGGTAAGAAAGTTTGAATATCATACCCAATTAGGTTTTAGAATGTTAAGAATACTTATTGGAACTCACTAATGCAGGTTAATGAAGAATTAAGAATGCGATTTGCAATTGATTTGGTAAATAATCCTTATAACAAGTTTAAGGATCCATTGATGGGACTAGCATTCCAGAATTGGGAGAAGATTGACACAGAGAACAAGAAACTAGTGAAGATTGTTGAATGATAAAGACATTAGTATTTTTGTTTGTTTTGATTCTCTTAATTATGACATTTAATATAGTCATAGAGTTTTTTTATGTTCTTAAATACTTTGATTTGTGTTAAGACATTATTTTTCACTGTTTTCAGTTATTATTATAGTAAAAGTTGTCAAAAGCACCTTTGTTATATCAAGTCCTATATATTAATATTTATGGAGTATATCATTATATCAAGTGGGGAGAACCAAACATAGCCCATTATAAAAACAAATTCCAAAAGTAAAACAAAAGAAATCAAAATACCTGAACTCTATAGTCTGTAATTAGTTGCTTCATATGTCTCCGGGCCGGTCTTAGACTTCAACGGCCTGGGCCGAGACAGGAAAAAAAGGACTTAGAAGTCTTATCCCTAATTCCCCATTGGTCTAAACAGTTAAAATATGTAAAGTAATTATATTTAAATGACAATTAACCCAATAGTATTAAAAGAAAATAAGTAAATGACAAAATCATAGTAGTATAAGTATATAGTGTAAAAGCTAGCCGAGAATTCCTAAAGTTCTCCTTGCATTTTTTAGAGCAAATTGGTTTGTGAAATCAAATACACAAATACAAATTCATAACAATTAGCAAAAATTTCAAATAAAGATTTCAATTTTTCACATGACAAATTCATATAACAAATTGTCAAATTCACAACAAAAATTCATAACAATTCATGACAAAAATTTATAAAGATCAAAGATTTTTCATATATACACATAACAAAATGTAAAATTCTTAAAGAAATTCTGAAATTAGTATTTTTTTACCTCCGTACCTGGACTCCTGGACCTGGAGGCTGGAGAGTTTCTGGCGAGGCGGCGTCTGGCAGGACGCGACTAGACTCTGTAGCAGTGGAGCGTGCAGGCGGGCAACGGCGTCTCTCTCGGTGACTTCCTTCTGACATCTTTCGTGCTTGGGTTTGGGGGCATGTTACAAAATAATACTCAAAATGGAAATTAGAAAGGAGGGTAGAAAGAATTTCCTGGAGAATAAAATTGTTTCCCACACTAATGGAGAATTTTAAATTACAGAAAAGGTGCTCCAATAACACTCTCAATTGCAGTCTCATGCAAAATATACAGATTTTATAGTTAGGGGAAAAATACTAATAATCTTTCAAGAAAAGGTGGCTTCAATATATATATTTGTTGGGGCAGAAATCATTTTCTGAAAAAACATGGGTTCCAACCAAAAATCTTTAAAAAAAATAACAGAACATGGGTTTTCATCGAAAAGCCCTTCTGAAAAAACAATATTTTTTAAATTTACAACTACACTTACGGATCTGGTGTCTTGTTGAAGAAATCATTCCATATTGACCATCATCGGAGACCTTCCTTTGTTACGCATGCCTTTGAAACGTTTTTGGTATTTATTCTCAGACCATCTTGAATGAATCTCTAAATAAACGAGGGATCCTTCGAAGTGCAGAAAACATCTTATTTTTGGGAAAGATTTATCCAAAAAATAGAATAAATGTATGAACAATGATGAAAGAACTTGGTGTAATCTACGTGGTTAGAATGAGGCGGTGTCTTAGGGTTACGAATCATATAGCAAAGGGATGGAGTAGGATATTGGGTTAGTGGATTTGGACCTGGGTCCAAAATATATCTAATGGGCTTATCTAATTTTCAATGGACTTAGCAAATTGTATACTACCTCAGTTCGTGAGTATTTATTCGGTTTTGATTTTTTCGAAAATACTTGATATAATAAATGTAATAAAACTATTTTGTTTCGATATATCATTTTTATTTAATTTGATGTCAAAATTAATATATTTTAACGGGAAAAAGTTAAAAGTAAACAAATATTCAAGGACGTAGGGAGTACTATATTTTTAAACATTAAACTTATTATTTCAATTTTCATAATTTTTAAAATAGTATACTTTTACTTTTTTATTAACATATTGTATATGTTTATTAAAAAACTTCAAGAGTTTTTTTCAAAAACCTTTTTAGTAAATAGTACTCCCAAGATATTTATACATGCACACATATGACATCATTGTTCACTTCCCAAGATATTCATCCATCAAGTTTACCACATAGATAGAGATCTTGCATTCCAATAAACCCTTTAGCGACATTAGAAACGGTTTATTTAATAATAAATGAATACAAAGATATATGAACGAAAGACGGACATGTCTACTATTTATTAAATGATATCAAGTTACAATATTTTTAATATTTTTTGCATTTAGGATAAGTTTTTGGTTTCTGTGCATCGCACGGGCAATGCACTAGTATGAATTAAATTTTAAAAGAATTGAATGTATAATTATGAGATTTGCATCTGTTTATCAATCTAATGTATTTAATCGGATTCAAATAATATTCATTTTAAACAAATTTGAATTTTTTTCCTCATAAGAATGATAACAAAATTTTTTGTTATCTATTTACACCCTGCGTCCGGTTTTTTTATGAGTGATCAAGCCTTTCAAGACATCAACTAAGAGCATGTTGATCTATACTTTGAAATTCATTTCTAGAAATTTCTTAAAACCTTTCTAGTGTATGTTCTTCTTTGTCCTAGATGGGATGGGTATGGTTGCTTCGAAATGTCTTGTTGATGGTTGCTTTTTGCACCTTGCTTGGTACCATTGGTGCATTTTTCTTCTCTAAACTTCGTATTTCTATTCTAGTTAAAACTAACTTCTAAGTCTCGCAACCTAAATATGTTATGGGATTTTGGTTCTGTGGTAGCAAGTAGACTTTCAAGCTGAAAGACTTATAATTGTTCCATCATCTATTGGAATAATTGGTCAGTGGTTCGTTTGTTTTCTCTAATCACTTGATTGAGCTTCTACACTCTCAAATCATGAGCCTAACCCCTTTCATCCATCATTCTTCTCAATTCAACATTTAGGGTTATTTGTTTGTCAGCAAAACATATGCTACTTTGTTTCCTCCTTGATTATGAGAATGTGACCCTCTTTGACTCATCTAGTTACCTTTGTTGTTTCAATCTCTTGGTCTAAAATCATCCTTGGATGATTATTTTTAAAAAAATTGTTCCACTTCCTTAAAAATATAGAGATCACTTCAGTATTATTTCTCTCTCAAATGAACAAAATACCAAACACAAACATATAATGATGATAAAAAGCCTTTGTATGTCTCACTCAAAGCAATATATATTTCTATTATACAGAATACATAGTCTACATAATGTATGTCATATACTCCCTCCAACCCAAATTAATGCTCATAATTTGACTTTGCACGGAATTTAATAAAAATGAAATTGTGTGATTGAAAGCCATATAAAGGAGAGAGAAAAGGTGAGTAACAAAAAGCTTTTCGAAAAAAGAAAGAAGAAGATTAATTTGAGATAACTAAAAAAGATATAAGGAAGATTAATTTAGGAGGAAGGAAATATTATTTTATATGTAAAATGCAAGTGCTTTGAATTACAACATTATTAACATATATATAGAAAATAGTCATAGCACAGCTGTATTCAATTCTAAAAACATATGTATTTCACGTATTCGGACAGCACATGAGTTGATACTCTTGTGTTTAAAATAAAAGAGAATAGATTGGAGAAGTAAGATCACAATGTTTTTAGAAAAATTTGTAAATAGATTTCAATTTACATCAAGAACCCTGAAATAGTAAAAATCCATCACAATCCATTTTTAAGAAACCTTTAGAAATCCAGACTATATAATACCATTAGATTTAAACGGATATTATACAATTTTGATTAAACACAACTAAATTTTTATTGACTTAAAGTTTTAATTGAGTATCCAAACTACAAAATCTACCCCACAGGGTGTCATTACAAGTGGAGTATGTACATTAAAAACATGGTAAAATTACTCTTAGAAGTTAGAGCAAAGCATCCCAAATTTATTGTCATATATGCTTCTTGAGCCCAACCAACCTACGGAGGAGTACATTTGTAAGACATTATAACTAGGCTCTATATTCCTAACACATTATTACATAAACATTATAAATCGCTAAAGATGTTTCAGTTAGCTAATTAAAAAAAAAAACTGTACAAGTTCAATAAGCAAGAAAATTATAAACTGAATCTAGACTCTACTCGAAAGGAAAACTTTACCTTTCAATTACATGAAACAAATTTAGCATCACACACGACCATAGGGAAGTTCGGAAGAAGAAAACCAAAGGAAAAACTGGTGGAGTTGCATTCAGGTAGGGAGGGAGCTGTATTCATCAGGCCGGGAAGTTCTGTTCATGTTTTGCTAGTTTCAAATTTTGTAGGAAAAACTTCCCTGGCCCGTCCAAAGGTGTGCATGCCACTGCTTGCGAACCACTGAAGGGAACTCATGATTGAAGACCTGAGGATCAAATCAATTCTTCAGGCAAGCAGCGGAAAGGAAAGGAATAAAAAAAAGACCAAGCTGCCAGGCACCCATGATATGATATAGTTAGCCGAAAAAAGACAAGAGTTACAATACTCCATTTGATTTACAATGAAAGCATCTGCTGAAGTTACTTTGATACCCAAAAATGGTCTTTCCAAACTCTTCTGAAGGCATACATATAGCTATGACTCTCTGTTGTGCTCATGCGCAAGATTATCCTCTTCAATGCGCTGCAACAACTCCTCGTACACTTTCAAGCAGTTTGCAGCAAATCTCTCCATGGCCTCAAAGATATGATGTAGACCAGCCTGAAGGCTACTATTTTTGCAAGTGTCATTCTGGTAAATGGCCTGCTTGCTCATCATCGACAGAGCATTTTCCTCCCCAGAAGCCAAAATCTTTCTTTCTAATGCGGAAATCCCTTTTTTTATCTTCTGATCCTCCCTTTCAAGGTTCTTCATCTTTCTCTCCATATTATTATCATTCATCACTCTATGGCGCATTTCTAGCTTATCTCGTTCCCACAGGTGAAGGACATTTGTGGAAAAATCACGCATACTGTCCACAACTTCTTTCTCAGACAACCTTTCCAACGATTGTGCCCAGTGATTACAGATAACAAACACAGGGGGAGCACCTATTCTACCAGGAGAGAATGGAACTATTCCATCAGGTGTTTCTTCAGGAACGTAAAGTAGGCATTTCATAAGCCAGTGATTCAGTGCTCTGATATAACCTCGCTGGGCACTTATCCAGCAAGAGAACCTTAGAGTCCAGTTTAGGAGATCGTGCTCAAGGTGCAAAGTGGCTTCCAGATGAGCATCACTAAACTGTTTTTTATGTGCAATGGCATCCAATCGTTTGGCTTCCACAATTGCATGGCACTGATTCTGATGGCACTCAAGCATGGATTTCCACATCTTGGTTAACCTAGAGATATGAAAAATATTAAGGGAAAGTGAAGTACCTTATCAACATGGAAGGCATCAAAATATTCAAAGGGAATTAAAACGCAACCAGTTACCCAATATGTAGTACTTCATGTTTCAATTTCCTGAAATAAAATCTAACTAATGAATTAATTATTACCAATTCAGACACACCAAAATACCTTTTTGATAATTCTATAGATTTACTCTATCCCTAATTTACAGCCCCGCCTCCATCGAAGTGAGCCGCTGCCGCCACACTACCACACATCTCCGCGGCATCAGCAGCGTCCTTGAATCAGCAGAACCTCGACAGAAGAAGAAGGAGGAGGAGGAGGAGGAGGATTAAGAAGAAGAGTTGTGAGGGAAGAAGAAAAGGAGGGACGGATGATGGACTGGTTAGGAAAAGAAAGTATTTTAGGGTTATAATTAGGGTTATATCTAAAAATTTAAGTCTAAAAGTACTTTAGTAAATGTACATTATTATTTAAAAATTAATTAATTACTATACAGAGAATATACACTACTAGGTCCTATTTAGGGAAAAAGGTTAAGTTTTAATATTATTAGGAGCAAGTTTCACAATAATCAATCGCGTTCCTGGAACAACTAGACTATCTAGAAGAAAGTTGAAATACTAGGCATCAATATAAGTGCTGTTAATGACAATCCTTGTAAGCACTCAAGCCCTACTAGAATATGTTTCCCTAACCAATGTGGCAACTGGCAACATGTGTATGTGTGTGCGTGTGCTGAAATACAAAACAACCTTGTTATAAAGACCTGAAAAACGGCCACGAAACCATTTCAAAAACATTTTAAAGCAAAGAGGCCAAAAATAGACACACCTTACAGCACATAGGCCAATAAAACACTATGGACATATGAAAAAAATGAAAACTACTTACCCTAGTATGAATTCATTAAGTTGGGGCCACAACTCTTCATCCCTCAATTTATTTATCTTCTCAGAAATCTTATCAACAATTTGAATTGCAATTCGGATTTTTGTTGAAAGGCTCCTAACCAGAGTTCTTGTCACATCTACTCTGTGAGTCTCAGCACCCTTTTCAGCTAGTCGCTTCAATCTTTGACTTTTCTTATCATGAATTACCCGCATTTTCTCCTCAACCTGCATAGAAGGTGCTCCTTTAGTGTGCAGTGAAAAGAGGAAGTATAATACAAGACAACCCAATAACTCCCACAAGTAGGATATGGGGGTGGAGAAATGATAGATGAAAAGAGGAAGAATAGAATAGCAGCAAAAAAGACCGGATATGCACACACCACAGTTTATGAACCTATATGAGAAAATTATTAGCTAAAGTGGGTTCCATTAGAATGAATGAGGACAATATGATAAAGAACATAAAATCACACTTCGAAGCCTGCTAATACAAACATATAATCAAACTAGGAGAAGTAGATTTTTAAGAATATTAACATGTTGTAAGAAGTAAAACAATAAGGAAACATACCTTAACTTCTTCATATAGTTTCTTCTCCCAAAGATAGAGCTTTTGTAAGGTAGAAGAAAGACTTTTGGACCTTAAAGAACTTACTTCTCCTTCTACATTAAATAAAGCAGGATCAGACTTGTCACCTCCGGCACCTTTTGATGTAGAAGGTTGTGATGACAACACAAACAAGGAAGGAGTAAATGCGTGCAACATCTTGGAAGAAGCTGTCCCAAAGCTTGGTGGTGGTGGTGGTGGTGCAAAGAGTCGCTATGGGAACATTCGTCGTCGTCTTCTGAATCGGAGTGGAAGTGAAGGTGGGAGCCAGAGCTGGAGTGGTGATGATAAACGGCAGCGTGAGCGTGAGGGGGCTTGATGTCGGCTTTGAGAGGGGGAGAGGAGGGGGGTCCATCGGAAGAAGAAAAAGAAGCATCGAGATCCAGATTGAAGAGGCGGTGCAGCGAGGCACCGACTGATTGAAGGGAGTGGAGATAAGCTTCGTGAGCCTCGGCCATGGCGTAGCGCTGGTGGATGGCTTCGTCCAAGAAAGCGCAACGCTCCCGGCAGAGGGCCACCGCCGGCAAGTCGTCGAGCTTGGAGCTGGTGCAACCCATTGACTTTTCTTTTCGAATAAATAAAAAAAAAACCTTTTCCTTTAATAATAATAGTACATATCAATTCGAGAAGAAGAAATGAGCAATTGGACTACTATTTTACTCCCGCCGCCGGCAGGGCTGAGTATTTCTCAATCAACGGACATATGAAGAAAGAAGAAGAAAAAAGGAAAGAAGATGCGAGATCGGGAAAAAACGGAAACAAAATGGGTGGCTTAATTAATTGTCATTAAATATCATTAATTTTCCGTTGGCCAGGTAATAAGTAGTAGTGTATGTGATGAATATAGTGATGATATTAGTTTGCAGGAAGAAGAAGAAGAAGAAGAAGAAGATGGACAAAGGAGTTATGGCGGAAAAGAGTGAAATTAGGGCAAGATGGGGGAAAGGGAGGAGAGAAACGGAATCTTTTGCCAGCGCGGAGTTGGTCGTCGGTTTATGGAGTGCGCCATAGGAATAGTCGTTCGGTGGGGGTGGGGGAGTCCCTTGCTTCACTTCTTCATCATCATTCTTTTGCTTCAAATTATTTTCCTTTTATTATTCCCTATTTATTTTTTGTCATTTATTGGAATACAATAATTACTTATCACTATTTTCAAATTTTTTGCCACATCATGCAGAATGAAGTGAAATTTTAAATTTTTAAAAATAAAAAATAATATCTAAAAACTATATCAAAAATTCTACTAAATAAGAAACGATAAAAATATTTTATTTTATCAAATAATCAATGAAAACGTATTAATAAAGAAAAGTTCTAGTAAAATGTAATACGGAGTATTTTTTGGGAGGAAGTTGTATAAAATTAGTAAATCTTTTTAAATATATAGATCCTATTTTTAAAAATGTATGACGAAATTAAAATAAATTTGATCAAAAATTATAAAAGGAAAAATAAAATTTAATAAGACATGAAGGGAGTAATTTATTTTTAACAATCACAACATCCCAATAAAATTCTATGATACCCCCGTGCTCCCTCCATCCCAAATTTAATGGCTTGTTTATTATTCATATGGTCAAATTCCATTCATTTTTTTTTATTTTTTTTTATCGGTGGTCATTAATAAAAATAAAATAGTCATGTCACTATTAGTTTTATTGTTCTTTTGATGTAGTATTTTAATATGTAAATTTTATTTTTTAATTCTACATCATTTTTCATATAAAATAATTTGAAATTAATTTCAATCAAACATCGTAAAGCGAAACAAACAATATACGGAGTAAATTGGAAGAGATGGAATAGAATCTTTGTTTTTAGTATACCACTATACCCTATGTAATAGTGATTTAAGTACAATAGTAATGGTATATCCTCTTGTTATTTTACGTTTGTTTTTTGTCCAACAAAAAGGAGGATTCTCATTTCTCACGGATCTCACCTTTCTTTTTCTTTTCTTTTCTACTTTTCATTTTGAATCGCATAACCAGTTTCAACTCTGTCCAACTTTCATTATTTTCCTTTTGTACTCCGTATATGTTTTGAACTTTAAAGGAGGAGTATACCTTTCACTCTCACTTATCTTTTTGTTCCCCCCTCTAACCAAACAAAAAAAAAATCAACTCATTTTCTTTTCTTTTTCCCTTTCAAATTCATCATCTAACCAAACATACATAGTGTAAATAGCTTTTGGCTCGTTCGACAAGTGATTGACAAATCAATGGAACTTTTTAATCAGGGTTGATATTTTGAATACGATTCACACAAGGATTATCAACATACCTCCTGCAAAGAAAATACGCAGTACCAAGGAATGAATTAGTTAAAGATAAGCGTACAATAGTACGTATATACAATGTTTATTCATCCATAACAAGTGTTTGTTTCCAATCAATGCATTATGCATTTCTCGATTCAGAGGAACTTTTTCAATTGATTCATGCCTTCATTGGACTGAGAAAAGTTCAACTGAATTCAAAGGAACCTATTTCTAGGACTTTCTATGTGAAGCACCAAATGAACTCTAGATTTTATACCAAATGTAGAATCCTACAGGATCGCCCCTCTCTCGAACCCGAACCATTTATGGGGTAAACAATTGAAATAGCATGGCAACCATTAATCGGCCTTCTGCTCACAAGGTTTGTAAGTCAAGTGGTGTCAATGCCAATCAATAGTTGTTATGTTAAACCCCTTCTCCATATATATTTTTTGCTCCACCATATCACCACAAAGAAAAAGTACTCTGTATATATAGAGAGAGAGAGAGAGGATGTACACGTACACGTACAGATAACAACCAAAATCCACTTGCACGCCTGCCTCTGTACAACATCTGAAGCTAGCTAGCCAGCACCTACTTCCATTTCTTCATCACTCTCATCGTCAAGCATCTGCTCCAGTTCATCAACTTCGTCATAATCCTGCATGTACTGATCATCTGATGTACCGCACTGGTTGATGATACCCAGCTCCTCCCCAAGCCAAGCGACATGCAAGTATGGTCTATTTCGGACCAAGGCATCCACCATATACCTGTTTCCACCTCCACTCACTCCCAACCATCTTAGTCTTGGGAAGTAGGGCTTCTTGAACCACAGGAATGAAAGTTGAGTTATGTTGCCACACTTATAAAGGTCCAACAGCCTTAACCTACTTCCCTGCCACCCCCCATCCTCATTATCAAACTTCATGGAAGCTAACATAATAACTGAATTATCTCCTATCAAAGGACAATGTCGCATCCTCAGCTCAAATATAGGTACCCGGCTCTTCACAAGTGAAAGTATTCCGGCATCAGAAAGATTGGGAATATTTGACAAGTCCAGTTCTTTCAATTCCTGGTTGGAAGATCCTTCAAAGAGATAATAAATACATTTGTCTGTGAGCCTCTTGCATCCTCTGACGGACAGTGAAACAAGGGAACTCACAACACCTTTTGATAAGTGGGATATTCCAGCATCACTTATATCACAACCATCTATGAGCAAAACCTTTAACTTTGGAAGCAAACTGAAGGCTCGAAGCGCTTCATCCCCGAGGTTTCTACACTCCCTTAGGTCAAGCACACTGAGATTCGTGTTGGATGCTAGTAGTCCAGCTACACAGTTCGTCAAAAGATTACACCACCTTAAACTGACATGAGTGAGAGTCAGGGAAGTTGCGCCAATATCGTGAAAGACAAGATCTGTCAATAGTGGTCCATGTGACACCCTAAAATTAAATAAATTTGCACATGAATGTAAAAGTGTCTTGAATCCTGTATCCGTAACCTGGCAGAAACCACCTAGACAAATACTTTCCATGCTCGAGCACCTGTCAGCCATAAGAAGAATCCCCAGATCATTAACTCTCTTGAAATATGCAGGAATAATATCATGCCTTCTTATTAAAGAGAGGTGCTTTAGGTTTCCATGTGGGTTAATCTGTTGAAGGCCTGCATTCGTAAGGTCAAATGCCACTCGTGGTTCCATTATGGGCGAATCTTGAAGCTCCAAATAGGTCAATGTGTTGAGATTTTTGGATATTGTATTAATCATAGTGTCAGTGATGTAGTCCACCGAAAGGCATAGCTTCTGTATTCCTGGCAACACAGGTGGTTGGATACGATTAAGTGACTGCTGTGGAACCATGGGAGGACTAAGCAGTTCAGTCACCATGACTGAAGAAATGTACCCAACTTGCAGTGAAGAAAGCGAGGCAGGGGCCAGAGACCATACACGAGCAGAAGTGTGGTGCAAGAATGTAGACACATCAAACATCAGGACCATTGACTGCAAAATAAATAACAGGGTAAGATAATCTTAAATTACACAAAACTGCAAAACATGTTGGTCATTTTAGTGTCATCGGTTTATTTTGTGTATTTGGATTTACTTACAATGGACAAGAATTTTAATAGACGTTGTCAAACGAGTTAGGAGGTGTGGAGTGCGCGCTCGTTCAACGATATTACAAATTCACTACAGGGGTCCGGGGGCGGCAGCCCCCGAGTAGCGGGGCCCAAGGGGCGGCAGCCCCTGGCGGACATTATTTCTTTATGAAAATCCTTAAGATTTTCGTGATCGGAGTCCAAAACAGTAAAGGACTCGAACTAGTGGATAAACGTCAAAATATACTCTAAAACCGCAGGAGACTCTTCGTTCAAACTCGCGCCTATCTTCTTCCCCGCCCGAACGTAAGCGTATGCCTACGCGAAGGATCATGTCCGATCATGGAAATTTTACTCTATAAAATAGAGTCTCGTGGTATGGATTGGGGTACGGATTTCGAGTGCTTGTTCTTGATTAACGTCTTATCCGATTGAAGTATTTCATATACCCCGAAATAACTTTGATCTGAAAGCGTTTCGTACGCGATTCGTTATACTATCGAGTTCTTCGTTTAACACTGCTTCGCAGTGTTCTTCATTAAACAATTCCAACAAAACATTCCTGCATCACATGAAGGTTATGTGCAAGAAACTTAGCTTGTGTCACTTGGGAGGTAAATTCGGCTTTTTATACTAAAGCACGATGCAAGAAAAGATACATGGAGAAGGAAAATGTCAGTTATTCTATCTTTTCAACTAAGAATAGTTGATAATTCAGGGCAAGAAAAATTTGATCTCTCTCTGATTGCGGTAGAAGATTAGTTGAGCACTTGAGCCAGATCTTGAGATACTATGCTTACTACAGACCTGCTTAGGTCAAATTCAGCATCCCTATTGAAGAATATTGCATTGATTTCAACTCGCTGGCTATATTAAATTATTAGGAAATTTTAATAGAGCTGCTTTTATAAGGATTTTAGGCTGTTTCCTTTGCAGTAAACGATTAACAGATCAGATTCGCAAAACACGTCCCTAAGGGCTGTTTTAGAGGCAAAGAAAGAAAGTCACCCATTCATTGATGATTCCATAAAAAGAATCATCTTTTTATAGAGCATGTGGCTAATAGGTTGAATTAATCATTCAAGAACTTCCCCAAAAGGCATCTCATAATGTAGTCTTACTTCCAACTGAGTGCAACCGCGGAGTAGAACCTCAAGATCAGATACATCTATTGATCTCCCTTTTTTGTCTGCCACTGAACTCAAATACAGAAACCTGAACAGCAGCATTTACCAAACAAAAGAACTAATAACTAATTGAGCCTAACATCAACAATCCTAGCATTTTAAGTAGAAAACGTAACTAAACTTGAAAGTTGAAACAAAAAAATTAATTACTCAATTAATTGATTGAAAAAAGAAAAGAGGAAGCTAGTTCACTCTGGAACACAGAATCATCAGAGATAAAAAGACCTGAGATCTGCGCAGCCACGACCTAATTGAGAAAGAAGCTTTCCGCTAAAATCGAAGCAATTATGGAGGCAAAGCTCTTGTAAAGTCGGGGGGAGGATAAAATCGAGAGAGGAATCGTCTAGGCGAGTGCAATCCAGCTTTATGCTTCGCAGGCAATGGTTGGGAGGCAACAATGGTCTCAGCATATCCGCGGAGGGAGCAATATCCTTATCAAAAAGACATAAAAGATCAACCGAGGATTGTAATTGAATGCTTAATTTTAGTGGAAACCGAAGAACAGAATGGCAATAACTCAGTTAGGACCAGGACTTACCAGAAGATGGAAAAATGGAAGGAAAGAGGCTATGTGAGAGGCGCATGAGTATAAGGCCTTGCAAGTGCACGCGAGGGAGCGTATGGAGGGAATGTCAAGCTTTGTCATCACGGTGGCGAGGAGCGCCGACGGGAGATGATCCAGCCGGATCCCATGTTCTCGGTCAGATCCCGGTGAGTTTACCATTTATGCCTCCGGAGCAGCTGTAGTTGACCAAGAAAGATATTGTTCTCTCATTTTCGGTCAATTATTAATTTGCATTCTTCGCTAAAACAATACGACAGGCACAAATTGAGGACGGGTATAATGTCCATTATCTAAAATAAAGACAATTTTTGGGTCTAATGGGCAAGATTGGTTTTCACCATATGTCCATATATGTTTATCATGGAATAAAAAAATAGACAAATTATTTAAATGATTTATAATATCAATATAAATTGAATGGATTATATTGTAACGCCTTATTAGTTTAGGTATAGGAGTCATGTTTTCCAAAAATTTGAAGTGCTTTACAGCTTTAGCAAAAACCAAAAAATTAAAGAATAAATTCCTTAAAAGGTTCCCAGTTATAGGTCGTTTTACATATTGAGTCTCTAAATATCAAAAATTACTAATTTAGTCCCTAGTTATTTTATTCATTTCCACGAATGGTCCTTTGTTAACATTTCCGTTAAGAACGTGGATAAACTTGTAAATTCACACTTCTTTCTCTCCTCAATTAAGTTTCCTCCCTCCCATCGCACTCCTTTCTCAAACCCGTCGCTGAGTTTGAAGCTCTATATCCAAAACTGAAATGATCATTCCTTTCTCAACTATTAGTCTTCCTAGTGGAACCTAAAATCAAAATTAATAAGCTTAATGGATGAGTTTTATCGGTTAGTCTCGAGAAATTACAAAGAAAATAAACATTAAAACACATCTATGAAGGTTACTGGTTTCGAATTTGGGTTCCACCATTTAGACAAACAATTGAGAGAAGAGTGATGATTTCAGTTTTGGGTTCAAAGCTTCAAACTCAGTGACGGGTTTGGGAAATGAGTGCGAGAGGAGGGAGGAAGCTTAATTGAGGAGAGAAAGGAGTGTGAATTTACAATTTTATCTACGTTCTTAATGGAAATGTTAACAAAGGACCATTCGTGGAAATGAATATAATAATTGGGGACTAAATTAGTAATATTTGATATGTAGGGACTAAATATGTAAAACGACTTATAACTGAGGACCTTTTATGGAATTTACTCTTTTTGAATTATAACTAATGCAAGGAGAATAATCACAAAATCACTATTTTTTTATTAATCAATGAAAAGAAAAATAATATTTTTTTGAAACAATTTTATTCTATAATCCAAACTAATGTGGGAAGAATCATATTTTTTATCCATCAATGGCGGTCGCATAATGTTTATCTCAAGATTAATGTGAATACTTCAACGGAGTTGGCTGCTAAAGTCTCGAGGTTCTATTTTATTGCTCAATACTATCAAGTGGCTCTAATTGCTGCACAAAAGTTACATCGTAGAGAATATTTTTGACCTATAGAAGTGGAGGTAATTGAAGTAAATGCGTCTTTAATTTGGATCAATAATAAAGATTGGAGGCATATCATTGTGGAAACACATTGAAACGAAGTGGTTGATTCGATGCTCTTAATAATTTCATCAATATTATCATTTAGTGGGCTATAGTAAAAGTCATGTAGAAAGTATTAGTTTTAGATATATTTGATAGTCTTTATAACATTACACAAAAATGTTATATACCTTATGGTGTGTTTGGTTAGGGAAAAATATTTTGCAGAAAAACTAAGATTCTATTTTCCTATATTTTGTCACATTAGTGGAAGGAAAACGGAAAATATTATCCTTCAATGGGGGGAAACAATTTACGTTAAAATAGAAGGAAACTTTTAAATCTCTTTCCGCTGCATTTAAAATTTAAAATTTAAAATTTAAAATTTAAAATTTAAAATTTAAAATTTAAAATTTAAAATTTAAAATTTAAAATTTAAAATTTAAAATTTAAAATTTAAAATTTAAAATTTAAAATTTAAAATTTAAAATTTAAAATTTAAAATTTAAAATTTAAAATTTAAAATTTAAAATTTAAAATATAAAATATAAAATGTAAAATTTAAAATTTAAAATTTAAAATGTAAAATTTAAAATTTAAAATTTAAAATTTAAAATATAAAATTTAAAATTTAAAATTTAAATTTTAAAATTTAAAATTTAAAATTTAAAATTTTAAAATTAAAACTTAAAATTTAAAATTTAACATTTAAAATTTAAATATTAAAAATAAAATTTAAAATTTAAAACTTAAAATTTAAAAGCTAAAATTTAAAACGTAAATATTGAAATTTAAAATTTAAAATAAAAAAATTAAAGTTTAATATTTACAATATAAAAATTTAATATTTAAATTTTAACATTTTAAATCTTAAATTTTATAATTATAATATACTTTTAAGAGTAAAAAACTTAAAATTAAAAATTTAAAGTCTATAATTAAAATTTAAGATTTGAAATTTATAATTTAAAACATAAAATATATTCCGATTGAAGCAAAACATAGCACAACCTTAATTTTTCAAAATGTTCTAATTTAAATAAGAGCTTGACATGTTAATTTTCAAATAAATATAGTATAATTTTCATCAAAAAATATTATACTCTCTGTGTTCCACAAAATATTCTCCTTTCTTTTTTCATCCATCCCCAATAATCTTTGTCATTTCTACTAGAAAATCACTTTTACTCCTACTAATTTTGAACATGTCTATCACATCACATTTTTTAGTATTAATCTACTAATCACGTCTTAATTTTACACATCACATCTAAGGGCATTTTTGGAAGGTCAACACCAAAATACTTTCCCTTAAATCTCTTAGAAGTCAAAACCATAAAGGTTTTGTGGGACGAGTGAGTTTATTTTATCATTATTTTAACTTTTAAGGTTGATATCTTATTTTGTTAGATTTTTTAAGAATGTTGTAGCAAAGAAAAAACTTAAAAATTCAAAAGAAAAAGTTTGTTCCACCCTATTGCGTAGTTGACAAAAGTAAAGATTGTCAAGTGGATAAGACCCGAGTTTGATTACAGACAACTGCAATGGAAGGCAATTATGTTAAGCATGATGCCTCTATAACTACCGGATTCAAAGTTTAATTTATCTTCTCTCAATAACTGTTTGACCGGGTCTTAGAGGCCCTCAAGGATGAGGCTTATCCTTTTCTTAAAATATAAATGATTATGAATAGAACTTCTTCCAAGTTTTAACTCCAAAGGAAGCAGTTGCATTGATTCATTGTGCGTCATTAGGTTGAGAAAAATATGAGCAATTATTCTATATCCTTAATATCTGAATTTGGTTCTTATCCTTAAAAAAAACTTTGCATGTCAAAAAATTTAAAAAATAAATTTACCTAAAATAATCCCACCTTTTATTTATTTTCCAAAAAATATGTATTTTCAAAAAATCCTGTTAAGTGATTGTTAGTTTTTTAATGGCGGCCCAAAACTCGCACACATGCAGAAAGGTGAGATTATTTTTGGTGACTGTGAAAAGTGAGATTATTTTTGAAACAAAGTGATGAAAAGATGGGATTATTTAAAATAATTTTCCAAAATAATATAGTGATATCAATTACATATTTAATCATACTACATCGAAAGATCTATAAATTATGTTGTTGTCTTGAATTATCATTGAATTTTTTAAAAAAAAAATATTTTTAGAATTTAAAGTACCAAATCTTAATTAATTTTACGGAAATGTTTATGAGTGTATGATTTTTTTAAATAAATACTCTCTTCATCCACAAATTTTCTTCGATACGACGTTTGAATAAAATTAGTTTTAATTCACTTGATATGATAATTCGTGTAAAGTTAAATAATAAAAAATAAATATTTAAGAACAAGATCAAAAGTTTTACAAAATTAGATGTGACATAATTATATTATTTTCACACACAATAGGTATCAAATCTCCATCATAGAGCTTTGTTTTATAAGGTTTAAGGAAGGGGACAAAATGAGAGTAGTTTTTTGCTTTGTTCGTAGAATTAGAGGTCTCAAGCAACTACAAAGAAAATGGACATTCATCTATAGGAAATATAATCATTTTTTCTAAAAAATGATTTCCTACTACTTATGTAACCAAACAAAATTAGATTTAGATTCTTTAAAAACTATTTCTCTCACAAAAAAAAATCTAAAAGTCAGAATCCAAAAGTACATTGTCTTTAATAAAAAATTATAGAATATAACAAAATTTCGTTCCACTTGTGCATGGCACGGGTTAAACACTAGTGAAAATAGAGGATTGAGCTCAATATGTAATCATTTAAACAAAAAAATGGCATACTTAAATGAAAAAAAATCACAATAACCTCCGTACAGAAACGATAGAGGAGGCTTTAAATTTGGTTAAATAGCCCTAGGCCTAATTACAAATTTTAAAAGTTTATTTAATCATACCTAAAAGACGCGGTATAAAGAGTGTTTTAAGACACCCTATTTAAAAGGGGCACCAAAGGATTCCCAACTACCATGTTTAAAAAAAAACAAGAAAAGAACAAGTAGGGAAATAGCGTGTGTCTAGGAAAAATATAGGTCATAGAAATATACGTGAAGGGTAGAAATCAAGAATGGATCGCCTATCATCATTATCATCCTTGAAAAAACAACGATCTTTAGGGATATCCGCCGCCGATGCAGATGACGAGCACCGGCCAATACTATTGGGCAACCACCGCCGTCACGACGCATCGCCTTCCTCTTCTAATGAAAACTCTCCAGTTATGAGGCGTTCGTCGTCCCTAATTCATAACAATAACAATAATAATCCCCACGACGGAGAAAGGGGGGAGGTCATCATCAAAATAGACGGAGATAGCAATCAACGCGGCGGCATTCTCCACGACAATGGCGGCGAGGAGTTTGAATTCCAACATAATGGCTGTAAGGATGTGGTGGAGGACCCGCCGTCGAGGCTGATCGGCCAGTTTCTCAACAAACAGAGGGCGGCCGGGGGAGAGATGTGTCTCGACATGGACATGGAAATGGACGAGTTGCGTGAGAGCAGCTCGGGTGCATGTGCATGTTCACCCGTTAGTTTTCCACCACAGGAACCCTATTTCTCTAATCGCTACAACAGCAATCGGATCTCCGCATCCAGAGATCTCAAGGTTCAATTCATTGAAGAGCATTCGGGAGATTCAACGCCTCCCAACAATAGAGTGGTCAATACCACCCCCGATCATCACCAACAAAATCATTCTCCATCATCTTCATTGTTGTCATCTGATGACGACAACGACGATGAAGAGATGATGGAGCCGCCTCAACAACAGCAACAACACAACAGGAGAAGAACGTCAGGCAGCATGACTTTCAACTTCAACAACAAGAACAACGTTGTTGAGGGGAGCGGAGGAGGAGATGGCCACGTGGTGAAATGCACCTCCTTCCAAAGGAGGGGCAGTTTTATAACAGGGAGAATGATGATAAACAAAACCAAGTCAAGGCTAATGGATGACATTGTGGTCGTCCCGGATGTTGTCGTTTCAGAGAAGAAGTCCGGGAAGATATTTGGGAAATCTTCTGTTCAGACCATGAGGTCTTCCGGACTGATGATGGGAAAGTCGCCCGAGGAAGAGGAAGACGATCCTCTCTTGGACGACTTTGACATCCCAGACGAATTCAAGAGTTCCAAGATCGACGCGCTCACCCTGGCACAGTGGATCAGCTTGGTGGTCATTGTAACGTCTTTGGTGTGCACCCTCTGCTTCCCGAGCCTCAAGGCCTACAGAATGAGGGGCCTGAGGCTTTGGAAGTGGGAGGTCCTCATTCTTGTGTTGATATGCGGGAGGCTAGTATCAGGATGGGCCATCAGGGTGGCCGTGTTTTTCATCGAGAGGAACTTTCTACTAAGGAAGAGGTTGCTGTATTTCGTGTATGGGGTGAGGAGAGCGGTGCAAAACTGCTTGTGGCTGGGGCTGGTGCTCATTGCGTGGCACTCCATGTTCGACAAGAAGGTGGAAGGGAATAATGACTTCCTCCGGTCTGTCAACAAGATCATGGTGTGCATGTTGATCGGCATCACCCTTTGGCTGCTCAAGACTCTCATGGTGAAAGTACTCGCTTCTTCGTTCCACGTTAGCAAATTCTTTGACCGGATTCAGGAGTCGCTTTTCAACCAGTATATCATCGAGGCTTTGTCGGGTCCCCCGTTGAACGAGATACACAACCAGAGCGATGTCAGAGGTGTGGAAGCTTCAAGATGCTGGGGCGAAGTTGCCCCCGGAGCTTAAAGCATCCGCTTTCAAGCACCTGAAGAGCAACAACGATTTCAGCAAGGTGGTTGATCATGGTGGTGGTGGTGGTGGAGGGGCAACGCCGACAAGAATCTCTGGCATCATATCCACCAGAAGCGTGGCGGAGGAGCCGGAGCAACAACAGCATAATCAAGGGATAACAATTGATTTTCTACACAAGTTAAACCCAAGGAACATTTCGGCGTGGAACATGAAGAGGTTGGTGAAAATGGTCCGGCACGGGGTGTTGTCTACGCTAGATGAGCAAATCCATTGCACGGCACAGAAGTACGAGGCCAACCAGATCAGGAGCGAGTGCGAGGCTAAATTGGCTGCCAGGAAGATATTTCATAATGTGGCCAAGCCCAAGTCCAAGTAGTAATAATAATAATAATAATAATAATAATAATAATAATAACAACAACAACAACAACAACAATAACAATAATAATAATAATAATAATAATAAACTCCATCATCATCATCAATCCATTAGGAGTAACAGTATTAGTAGATTCATACAACATAAATAATGTATTTAATTCATATATGTTTCATGTATTTATCATCAGCTCCATCTACTTAGACGATCTGAGGCGCTTCTTGCGGCAAGAGGAAGCAGTGCAAGCCATGAATCTTCTAGGCGGATCGCGTGATTGCAGAAGGATCAGGAAAGCGTCCCTTAAAAATTGGGTGGTAAGTCTCCCCCTTATCATCCATATATATATATATATATATATATATATATATATATATATATATATATATATATATATATATATATATATATATATATATATAATTAATTCCCTCCATCTAATTAATTCCCCACTGCACAATGAGTTGAGTACCAATCCATGTCATTGGATTGTCACATACTCAAATCAACATTTATCTACACCCACGGATCCAACTTATCTTCAAGGATATGAAATTAAAATGAGTAAAGTTCATACTAATTAATCCTTCCAAAAATTTGTGATAAGGTGTTAAGCAAGGGGCTAGCTTGTGCCACCTCGTATTAGTTGTGATTTTCATCACTAGTGATCCACTTCAAGGGAAGGAATTTTGCTATTATTAGTGTGCGTACAATGCCTAAACAATTTCCTTAAAGTTTAAAAAAGTTGCTTGAAATAGTTATTTACTACTACGGATATTTATTGGCAATCAACTCTCCACAACCAAGCAAAATGCTTGAATATTGGTGTGTCAGTATATGGAAGAATTGTGTCATAGAAAAACGAGAGTAAGAAGTAACTAACCACTAGTTGTTTGGAATTAATACACTTCCAAACTACAATATTACTTATTACTCACTTTCTTTAACTATTCTTTCCGTTCTCAAAAATACTTCCTCTTTCAAATTTTTCACTTCCAACAAAACACTTTCATTTTTTATTAAAAATCAATTTTTGTAGGGTTGTTCACGTTTAGGTCTGGACCGAAAAAACTGACCAAACCGGACCGTTCGGTCCAGACCAAACTCGGACCGAATGGAGTTCAGGTCGGTCTTCGGTCGAAAAAATTAAGGAGTTCGGGTTTCGGTCCAAATCCGAAATGATTTAGGTCCGGACTGATTAGACCGAATAGACATAATAACCCGATTGGACCAAAAAGACCTAAATATGTAAACTCTATATTTTAAGTTCCGTAATACACTTTGATGCTTTACTTGAATAGATATTTTAATTTATTTAATTAAAAAAGTCTTTGTTAAGAATTTGTTTAAAAAAAAAGTTCAAAAAAAAGTTTCGCATTAGTTTTTATTATTTTGCACAGAAATAGTCCATATTGTGTATCTAATTTTAGGTTGTATATTTTTTTCCTATATGTACGCTACAAAATAAAAAGCCGAAAATATTTGTTTTTTTGAAGACAAACCATTAAAACCTAAAATATATTTAAATGATCAAAATAATTAAAAAAATATTTTTATTTGGTCCAATCGGTCCGGACCGGTTTGGTCCAAACCCGAATAGATTTAGGTTCAGTCTTCGGTCCGATTTGGTCCGATTTTGGACCGATGAACACCTCTACACTTTTACCCTTACTTTTTCATACCTTACCTATCACATCATACTTTTTTTAAATAATCTATCCATCATATCTTACTTTTACCTATCACATCAAGGACAAAATTAGAAGTCAACTACAATTTAATACTTCTTTATTTATACACTTGGTCAAAATTGAAACTCTTTTTTGAGAACGGAGGAAGTACTTTTTTACCATGAACAACATGGATTCGTTTATTTATTTTATTTTTGAGTAAATTTTATAAATGGCTCCCAATTAAGAATGATTTTTCATATTTAGTCCATAATTCGTAGATATTCGATAAAAGGTCCTCAATTTTATAAAACAATTCCATAATTATTCCTTTAGTCTAAAATATAAGAGAATACTTTTTTCAAAATAGCCCTTGAAGGACCGATTATGAAATAATTTTCAAAAATTGAAGACCATTTATGGGATATCTGAAAATTAGAGACTAAATATGTAAAACTACTTATAGTTAGAACTATTTATGAAATTTACTCTTTATTTTTTGAAAAATTAGAGAGAGAAATTACTTTTTGTATTATGAGGAGTACGTAGTCAATTATTCTAGGAAGAGAATTGCTTGAAAAAACAATTGGTTCGGAGTGATAGATAACATATCAATCTCACGCAAGATTACCTTTGTTTCCAAAACCACCTTAAGTCCTTATCAAGTGATTGGGGGTTTCCTTATCATCTCCATAAATGATAGTTTATGCCAACATTTTTTCTTGTGGTAAAGCATGCAATTGATGAGGGTATTTGTTTATCTTTATTTGATACATAAATGTTTTGATTGATTTTGACATTGTAGGTTAATGTGTTCAGAGAAAGAAGAGCATTAGCACTAACATTGGACGACACAAAAACAGCGGTTAAAAAGTTGCACCAAATGGTGACGGTGTTGGTGGCGGTCATCATTTTCCTCATCAGCCTCGTAATCCTAGGATTTGTAACGGGAAGGGATCTTATGTACATAAGCTCCCAGGTGGTGATCGTGACATTCATTTTTGGGAACCAATGCAAGAACGTGTTCGAGGCAATCATATTCTTGTTCGTGATGCATCCGTTCGATGTGGGGGACAGATGCGAGGTGGACGGAGTGGAGATGGTGGTTGAGGAGATGAACATATTGACAACTGTGTTCCTGAGGTATGACAACCTAAAGGTACACTTCCCAAACAGCACGCTGGCAATGCGGCCCATAGGAAACTTCTACCGGAGCCCAGACATGGGAGACTCAGTGGACTTCTTGGTCCACATAGCGACGCCAATGGACAAGATAAAAGTAATGAACCAGAGGATAGTGAACTTTGTGGAGAGCAAGAAGGAGCACTGGTATTCGTCCCCCATGGTTGTGTTGATGAACATTGGGGACATAAACAAGCTGAAAATGTCAGTTTGGCTGAGACACAGGATGAACTTCCAAGACATGGGAGAGAGGTGGTTGCGACGCGCTCAGCTGGTGGATGAGATGGTTAAAATCTTCAAGGAGATGGACATAGACTACCGCCTCTATCCTATCGACATTAACATTAGGGCGATGCCCCCTACCGTTCAATCCACCCGACATCCGCCTAAGTGGCAGCCTCCCTCCATCCCAGATCCATCGGCTTGATGTGCATGCCTTTATTGGGTTGGGTGTATGCTTCCAAATTATATCCTTCAAGTCCACAATTTGAATTCAAATTGAACTCTCAAGCCATTTTTGATAGTTGTATTTAGATTTACTTAGTTTTCTACTCAGTTGGATTAGTTTTCTACCCCATTTTACTTTACTTAGTTAGTAGTATGATGTATCAAATACTCGGTAGCTAGTTTTTTCTTAAAGCACTTGTATATAATTAATAGGCACCTATGTGTGGTAGTTTTTTGTGCCAAAAGTACAATTTATGCCCTTTGGCAATATCATTTAAAGTTAAGATTTGAATATTTTTTTATGGTGTAGTACTTTTAACTTTGAAAATGTCAAAATTAAAATATTCTCTAACAAAAATTAATATATATATATGTGTGTGTGTGTGTGTGTGTGTGTGTACAGTGGCAAATCTAGAAAATATTATAACTGGGGGCAATATTAAAATAAGGTGTAAGACAAGTGTTCGAGGGCAGTGTCCTCAAATTTTTTTATAGATTATTTATAATGATGAAAAATAAATAAATTAAAACAACTGGAGATGAAATAAAAATATCATTTTTTGGTTTAGTAAATCTATAACGAGAAATTGCAATAAATTATTTAAGTATATCAATTGACAATTAATATCTTTTTAGGTTCATTAATTTAATACGGATTAGTTATCAACATAATAAATAATTTCATTTCATTGAAAAAAGGAAAAAAATTCAAAAATTCAAAAAAAATCACACATAAACCTAATTTTTTGATTTATTTACCTCACATTTCCTAATAGGAAAGTTTATAATGCACTAATACCTAAATTCTCCTGAAACTTGACCAGAAGAAAAGGGTATGCATATGCGTTGCACTGCCTATGCTTCACCTTCTAGCCATAGAAAATGTAACTTTGTGTCTCTCGATACTCGTGATATTATCTCAATCATACCCATGGAGTAATCTTTTTTTAGTTGTTGGGCCTGTAGGCAATTGGGCTAAGGTGTTATGGGCTATACATTATTTAGAGTTTGGGACTTTGGGCACTTTTTTCAAAGGCCTGGGAGCAATTTATATTTTGGACGGGGCAAAACCGCAAAAAACTAAAAAAAATTAATAAAACAATTCCTTTTCACTAGGGGCAGCTGCCCCAGAGGATAAAGTGGTTCCACCAATGTGTGTGTATGTATGTATATAAACACACACACACATATATACTCCCTCCGTCCTATATCTTTCTTCACAGAGTACTATTTCAATTTTACAGAAATTTTTATTTATTTGTATTTTTTCATGGCCTATATGATAAAATAAAATATTCTTATAACTACTAGTTTTTTTGAACTTTTGAGGCAGTTTTTAAATATGTAAAATTTATTTTTATTTTGTATACCAATCTTTTGAGATTTTTCTTTGTTTTGCGCAATACAAAGAAAGATATGGGACAACTGGAGTATATAATTGATGGCTATAAACCACCGAGAGTATGAAATAATATAAAGTTTTAGAGAGAGAAAGAGTGTGTGCGCAAAGTAGGAGTATATTGATTTCAAATTCGGATCCATTACAAGGAGGGGTGCCACCCCTTTTATAGGGGGTACAAAATACTAAGTCAAAGCTCTCTGATCGAGGCCCGTCGTTTAGCGGACGTCACCTGTCCTTAGGTCTTGTCCCTTTCATCCTATCGCTTTCACCAAGTCTCCGTTGAACGTCGTTTTCCGCACGTCTTGTCCCTTTCATCCTATCGCTTTCCTCAAGTCTCCGTTGAACGTCGCTTTCCGCATGTCATTGTCGTGGGGCTCGGGCTCGGCTTGGTCGGCCGAGCAGGAAGGACGAGCGGAGCGCAGAGCCGGGCAGGAAGGACGAGTGGAGCGCAGAGCCGGGCAGGAAGGACGAGCGGAGCTTTGGGCCGGGCAGGAACCTCCAAGCCCGAAACTTAGCAAATTTATGCTGATGTCAGCCCCAGTGCTGGCGTGGGGTTATTCCCCATCAATAATACATGATGGTGTAAATTATTGACCGGTATATTGTTTTTAACAGGGCAAAAACGATAAAATAGTCTAAAAAAATATATCAAAATATAAACACAGGAATTTTGACGTGGAAACCCAAATCGAGAGAAAATCACTAGCCTTTTTTGGTGGTACCTTACCAACATGGAATTTATTAATATCAGGGATTGTACACGATAAATGAAATGAGCTCAGAAGTAATTAATGGTGGAGCTACAAGCTGTTGAATAAGAAAATATATCATAATCTAGAGATATAAAGAGTAAATGGGCAGGGAGAGGAAAATTCGCCCCCTCAACATTAAGAGCAACCCTCTCTTTTATAGGAGAGAGTGGGAGCATCTACTGAGGAATATTCTATTATTCCTCAATTTTATTAAACATGCCCGATTTGACTGTTTTTCGTAAATAATTGGGAAATGTGGGTCAAGCCACGTATTATTTTCCATCAATATGGTTAAGATGAAAATAACTCTTAGGCTCCATTTGGTGTACAAATTCAAGTCTTGGATTTGGATTGAGGACTTTAATTCTAATTTAGGTATTTGGTAGTACAAAAATATATACACTTGAAATTGATAGTGCAAAAAATGAATTGGAATGGGAGAATTTAATTCTAGTAAATTCAATTCTATAGAATTTTAATTCAAATTCAATTCCAATTCCGTCATTTTTTGTACCAAATGAACCCTTTAGAGTTTGTTTCGTACATGGAATTGACAGAATTGGAACTGATTTGGATATTGAAATTCTATGGAATTTATTTTGATGGAATTAAATTCTCCAATTTCAATTCATTTTTGGTACTATCAATTCGAAATCCACATATTTTTGCGCTACTAAACACTGGAATTGAAATTATATCTTCAATTCTAATTGCATAGTTTGAATTTCTTGTACCAAACGGAGCATTAATATAAAAAATATGAATGGTGCATTTGTCTATCGCAATGCACATTTATATTTTAGGAGTGCATTTTTGTAGTGACATCAAAGTTTGATTTATTTTTTGAAATGCCACCATGTTTTTTTTTCAAAATGTTTTATTTTTCTAAATTGTCATTAGACCGTATAATCAAGAATGATGCTTACATCGTTTTAATGTTTAAATTTAAAATGTAATTTTCTCACATTTTTTATAGACTTGCATGTGAATAGTATTTTCTTCCAAAAATTCAATTCTTTTATGCTATAAATGTACTAGGATCTATAAGATTAACATAGATCCTATTCACGAAGAATTTGCCTACAATCAAATGCACTTATGCACCACATGCACAATGTGTTTGTGTCCTTCCATTTTCAAATGGGTAGTTTTTTTGGGTTCAAAACTCACTTTAATTAAATTAATACTGATTATAAATTAAAGTAACTTTTGAAAAAAGATGTGAGTGGTTTTCTCTTTATATAAAAGAATGACTAAGACTTTTGACTTTGGGTGTGGTTTTTGTCTTTTACTCGACCCGTGTCATACACGGGGACACGGGGTAGAACATTTTTTTGTCTATTACAGAGTATATTTTACTCTTATAACATTTTTCAAATATTAGACAACATAAAACATATACAACTCGCTAATGAAAATTCTACTATATACACTTAAAAATTAACATTTCAATGTCTTATTTAAATTAGAATATTTTGAAAAATGTTGAGGTATACAATATTTTTTGTGAAGTTATAAAGATTACCAAAGAAATCTAAAACTATTAATAATTTCAACTTTATTTTTACTCTCACTTGTGAAATAATAATATAAACTTAAGTGAATACAATATGGTAAAAATATAATATTATTAATGCCAATGTTTGACATTAACTTTTTTATAATATTATTAATAATATAAATTTAAGTGAATCATAAGTCATAACAAACCATAAGTTATTGAAAATTATATTCTTTGAAACTTCAAGACTAATCCTGTATAAAATGATATACGGAATATAATTCATTTATGTTGTGGATGTAAAGTTGTAAACCTTCTCTAAGGCTTTATTTTCTAATACTACAATTGCGATGACGTTAATATTTCACAACTTTCAATGTTTAACCTTGTATTATTATACAATTCAGAGAGAACAGCCGATTGTACGAGAAGTGAGGTATATTCGAGTAGTATTCATTTTAAAGTAAAGTCGTGCTCATTCTCAAACAAATATAAACGTTCATTTTGAAATATCGTAGTACTCATTCTGAAATAACTTGGTACTTATTTTTCATACATTTATACAATATAATTATAGTAATCATCTACGAATAACTTAGTATTCATTCTGAAACAAAGTAGTGCTCATTATCAAATTACGTAGTGTTCATTCTCAAGTAACATGCGGCTCATTCACTTCATCGGTACGTCATCTTCATCATTGTTGGCATTAACGATAGTTAGACCTATGGTTTATCAGTTTCTTTCATATGAATAACACCTGAATCGTCTCTCCCGTCGGCACCTAGGGTTGCCGCTCTTCCGCACAACTAAAAAGTGAATATTAAAAATTTCAAAAATAAAAAAAACAAAATATTAAAAACTAAAAACTTTAATTTAAAATTTAAAAATTCAAACTTTAAAAATAAAAAATATAAATTTTAAAATATTTAAAATTTAAAAATTAAAATTAAAAGAAAACATAAAAATAAAAATTTTATATTTAAAAACTAAGAAAAAAAACTTCAAATTTTCAAACTAAAACCAAAATTTTAAAATTAAAATTTCAAAATTAAAAATATAAATTTTAAAAATAAATTTTAAGTAATATATGTTTCAAATTCCAAATTAAAAAATTTAAAAAATAGAAAACATAAAAGTTTATATTAAAAATATAAACTCTAAATTAAAAAATTAAAACTTAAAATTTCATATTTAAGACTTATAATTTGTAATTTAAAAACTAAATTAGAAATATAAATATAAAAATTTAAAACTTAAAAATTTAAATATAAAGAATTTTAAATTGAATTAAAATTTAATTTATCTAATTCAATTCTATAAAATTGTAATCTAAATTGAGTTTCAAGATTGGATTAACCTTTTTTTAAAATTTGAAGAGCAAATAGATTGGGGTAACATGGGAACGGTGCAAGTAAAAGTGTGGAAAAGGGAACAATACGACATGTGGCCACCCCTCTAAACCTAGCTGTGAAGACTTCTTTAAAAACATCAAACGAAAGCTACAGTGTCATCATCTGTATAACTTGGCACTTTGTGTGGGACTAAAATTAGCAATGGATCCACTCA